CAAATTTTAGTGATCTGAATGGATGATCTCTAAGACTCAGTAGATAGGAGAATAATTAGCACCTACCATTTTTCATGAGCATCCTATCATATTGCATAGTTTATGTAATTTTAAAGAATTACATGTCCTACACTGCACTCATTTACAACTTTCATTGTAAACAGTTGTTCACAGCTTTTTATTACAACAATAAGTGTGTGCTATCTTAGTTAATATATGGCTTGTATTGATTTATTGTTTAATCCTATTTTGCAAATGTATGAATTGTGCAGTTAGTTCAGTTGTATTGTTGTAAGACATTTCAGCATTTTCTACTAAATTTTATTTAATCTCCCTGTTATAAACCCTAGATGAAAGAAAACCTCAATCAATTAGAAAATAAGCAAGGCATGTACTTAAGAGGGAATCACATAAGAATTGTCTTTCAACATGAAAATAATAAATAGAAAATAATCAAACATGAGATTCTAATTCTGACATCTAGGTGATGAAAACTGACATTGAAATTTTAGCTTTGCTATTTGAAAAAAAATAAAATTTGCTCCAAGTATATTTTTCATGTAAAGATTAATTTAAAAATTACTTTCTTCCCTGCCTGCAATTACCGGAACACTTTACAAGTACCTTCCAGGTATTTCTGAGCCTGCTTTGCATGTTTATACTGGTAGCTTCAAACCACCAGCTATTTCTTCAGTATCACAAGTAGGCAATACTTTAAAAAATACAGATTGTTTTTCCACCAAAAATAGTAATACCAGATTCCGTGGAATAGGAAAATGTTCTCCTTTATGTAAACTAGGGTAATATAAATAATAGAAAACAATTCTCCTTTTAAACTGTTGTTAATTATTGCTTCATTACTACAGTAGAAATTCTGGGTCATTCCAATTAAGTATGTGGTGCGATATCAGCTTAAAAATCATCGTTCACTTTCGTTTCTTTTTTTTTCTTTCTTTTCATCTTTCTGTAATTCTATTTTATAGATATCACACTAAAACAAAGTGTTTTTTCTTAATCAAAGATCAGAGTTTCGTCTGTGCGGGGGGCTCCTTCGGATAATCCAGGTAGCATCTGCAGAACACGTAGGTCTTCTGTAGTGTGTGCAAGACCTTTCTCTCATGATATGCTCATCATAAGAATCTGCTGGTGTCCTTGGTTGAATCTAAGGTCGCTCGTTCTTCTTAGTCTCTCTGATAATATGTCGGGTCCACAGGTACGTGCCTGATTTTACAGCTGCATTTGTGTCACCGCAGTCTGCGCACAGCGATGTCGTCAGGGCCCTGCGGCGACTTGCTGCCGTGTACCAGGTGTCGGACGCGTCCCCCCTTGCACCTTTTTCCTGGCTGCCCCCCGGCCCCCTCTGCAACTCCACGGTTGTTGCTGTCTCCCAGGAGATGTCCGCTGCGGGGCTGCTGCTCCAGCTCTGCTCAGGGGCAGTCTGGAGGGGCGCAGGTGGTCCTTCCCGGCTGCCAACCTCTGCTCGCTTTCCAGGGCACAGTGCTTCATGCGGTGAGAGGTTTTACAAATGCATTGCCTAGACAAAATCCAAGGAATGTAACTTTGCTTCTCACTAATACATGTTTGTCTGGCTTCACTGTCAGCGCTGCCTTCCCAAGGGATGCCAGCTGAACCCATATCAGAACCACTTTTCAAATCCATGTCCTTTTGCTACACCCTTGACATGCTTCTCTTCAGACTTCATAATGAACTGCCTGAATCCGCTTCTTCCACTGAACTCTAGAGACGATCTTATCAACATGATTAGTGCTGAGTTTCTGATCACATTCAAAGCGTTCTGCGTTTGTCAGAGTTGCAGCTTTTCCTTGCTCTCACGTGAACTTCCCTTAATGTGTGCTCTCTGCTTTTGTATTAACTTTTATCTTAGTCATTCAAGGACCATCTTGGTTTCTGTCCCTCTTTTCTTCCGTTCCCTGCTGGCATCACGTGCTTTCATTTCTCCTGCTTTAAACAAGACTTTCTTGTCCACTGCTACAATTGTTTTCAGCTGTCAAATATGTCTTCTCCTGTGCAAAGTCTTCATTCTCCTATGGTAGATGTTCCCCCAACTATCTCAAGTTCAATATAATGAAAACTGATCTTGCGTACCTCTTGTCTGATTTTGCTTTCTCCCTTCTCCATTTCGCTGGGTAATTTCACTGGCTTTCCCATCATCCAGGCTCGAAACTCGTTGTCATATTTGTTTATTCTTTATTCCTTCTCACAGGGCTGTGTCACCACATCCTGCTCTTTCGTTATTATAATGTTAGAATGCATCCTGCTCGCCCCTTTTACCAAAATCCCTATGTACGTCCCTGTCACTTCTCACTTTATCCTCCTCCTTTTTCACCACCTCATTTCTCACCTCTCTCAACTCAGTTCCATCTAAAATGTTGCTGCTAAATCTTCTTTCCGTGCTGCTTGTGTCATGTCATTTCCTATTGAAATACCTTCTCTGCCTGCCTCCTTTGTTAAATGTAATATTTTCTTCCACAGTAATGCACGTACTCTCCTATCCATCATACAACTTTACGCTATATCTTTCCTCATCTCTTTTTTACACTTCCAGTTGCTCTTCTTGCAGATTCCTGCTTTCATCTCTGCACTCCCTGAGTCTGGAAAATTCTCCATCTTCTACCATGTCACACTCCAAATCTTTCCTTAAAAATGCCGCAAAATTCCTGATGATTGTTCTCAAAAAGAAACAAAAGCACCCGCATTCCTTTCCGATCAGGCCTTCCAGGCTTTAGCAAAATTGGAAGAGTATTTGTCCAATTAGATGTGTCCCCTGAGGCAGGGAAAATTCTACGTTTTGTGTAACGCTGCCTACAGAAAACCACTGGGTATAGGAATAGGGCTCAGCTAACATGCTCTAGTCCCAGAGCTTCCCGCTTGGGATTTCTTCTTTTTTTTCCATATATTTAAGGCTCAGTTGTGGCTTTGTAGTAGATCATCAGACAGGGCTAGGGGAAAAGGAGCTCACTGAGATATAAACACAAATAATAAAATCAGACAGAAAGGTACTATCGTAGACAGTGTTACACCGCGAACCTTCGTGACGTTGTAACGCAATGCCGTGGCCTTCCAGCGGGTGCACTGCGCCTGGCTAAAACGGGTGAAGTAGCGGCGGGGCGGGACGCTGGGGAGCAAACATCACTGCACCGGAGAAGTTCTCTCCTCTTAATAAAAATCAAACAGACTGTACTTGTTTCAGCAGTAGTCTCACCTGCAGTGTAAACGCTATTATAAAATACCGTGCGTTAAAAATGACGTGTAGGTGGCGTGCGTCTTTTGAGATAGTGGAGGGGGGGAGTCCAGCGTGGCAGCAGGTGCTCCCGGCTGACGGCACGTTGCCCTCGGCCCGCTGCC